GGCCCTGTTTGATGGTACCGTGGTCCACGCAAGAGTTTTTGGAAGGGTGCTAGTTTCATGCTCCTTGCATAACCACAGAAATGTTCTCTTTTTTCGTGAATCACCCTTTGCCCCAACTGCCTCAGATGTTAAAAGAGCACAGGTGAAACGCACTGCAGTGGAGGACACTTCGGCACTGCTGAGGAACGGCTGCAAAGAGGCAGGGGGTGACACAAAGCCAGGCATATAAAAATACAGAGCAACAGACATAGCTTTGTTAACTTGGCAAGTTGCCATGAGAGCCTTCTTTGGCAGAAGGGTAGGGTGAACATGCTCTAAATCAATAAACAGAAGAGGGGGTGTTGAGGAGAAGGAAGGAAAGCAAGGGCATGGAGGGAAAGCTGGGAACATGGCAGTGATGGCTGTGGAGAGAGTGGCTGGAGGACGGGCCCAGTATTAAAAACAAGAGGCGAAGCCTCTCGATACCAGGTCCCCATGTTCTGGAATGTGAGCAAGGCTGCAGCTACAAAGCCCTAAATCTCTCCTAACAAGCCATGGAAAAGAAAGCATCCAACCGAGCCAAGATAGGGCGAAGTGAGGAATGGTATTTTTGGCAAATGCAGGAACAAGAAAAGGTGCTTATGACAATGCAATCTTGAGGTAGCGATGGAGGGCAGGATGCACCTCAATGGGGTGTGAGTGTTGTCTTGGGTCCAGTGGGCTTCCAAGGAGAGGAGGAGGCATGGGAGAATCAAGCAACACTATTGGGAAAACGCAGGTGGAACATGGGGGGGGGCAGGGAGTCCATGGGGCTGACTTTTAGCAGTCTCGGGGACCAGAAGCCCTGAAAGGCTAAGAAGGCAGGCAGTACAACTACTACAAGCCCAGAGGCACAGGAAGCTCAGTAATGCAGGACTGCAAGCCAAATGGATGTCAGTTCTGGACTGAGGAGGAGGAGGAAGCTGCCATGCTTGACATGCCCACCCCGTCCAGCTCTTCCATGGCAGCCAGTGGTGCATCTGCCAATGGACATGCTGCTCTTCGCTCGGGATGCCATCCTGGGAAAACAGCTGGAAAAGGACAGCTCTTTTGGGGAACAATTCATGGACCAGGGAGTCACTTCTCAAGAGGACTGCATGGGACTCCTTCCACCCTCACGTGAGGAGACCACTGTGGTCTACACATGGGACAGAGGAGTCTCTGCCAGCATTCCAGGACGCAGGTGGAGGAGAAGTTTGGATATTCTTCACAGCAGGGAAGAAGCAAGCTGGCTTCAGGTGGAAACCTAGCACATAGTTCTGGTGACACAGAGCTCCAGATAGGTCATCAAGGGGTCACAATGGCCACTTGGGATATTCTAATCTTTACCATTTGTGTGGGGAAGTAAGGTCTACTTGCAGCCCAGAGACCACCTGTAGTCCACTGCCCTAGCCCAATGCATTGTCTGCCTGCTCATTTTCTACTTGAAGCAAGTTTTTGCTTAGAGCTGGTCCTCTGTGAAGCCCTGGACACCACGACGACCCATCATGGGTTTGGTCGTCCAAACCACACAGGATTTCTGCAGGCTGGCTCATTTTTCAGAAACAAGCTACCCAAGGCTCAGTTAGGGTTGGGTTGTTCAGAGTAGCTTGCTTTCAGGGTGGCTTGTTGCAACATCCAAACCCAGCAACTACATCGTGGGTTGTTGGAATAGCTAGAGAGCTGCCTGACAAGAGCAGCAAAACCCTTCTCCTGCTCCCTTTGACTGCCATCTTCTTGCATTCCTTCTCAGTGTCCTCCACCTCATGTTCCTCAAAATCGAGGAGGACACTAGTGCTCACAAACTTGGCTCTTTTCCCATCTTGCCCAGGTGTTCACAACCAAAGGTCCTGCCCCAGGGACTGAGGAAACGAGGAGTGCTGCCACGAAGGCACATGGGATGCTGCCAGGAGCCAGTGGGAGGACTGAGGGGGTGCATGAACTAGAGGAAGCTGCAGAGCCTCCAGCCTTCAGGTGGGCTCCCAAGGAACCCACCTACCCACACACCCATATGGTGCATTTTCAAGGTAGCGTGGCAGAGTGCGTGAACTTCACCCACAGGGAGGCACTCAAAACGGCAAAGGACCCGCTCCTCCCGCATCCAGCCCACGGCCTGCACCGCTTCGATGCGTTCCAACACTTCACCCTGTTGATGTACAGACTGGGGCCAAGAGGGACCGCTCGCCGTACGTCGTTTTCCTCCCCCTCCATGGCCTTTAGACAGTTTCTCTCAGATCATTGGAAGACTGGCTTACGTGGAGTCTCTCCACACACAGACAGCTCTTGGTGACAGCTGCCCTCTGCAGCGATTCCAGGAGGCCTTCATGTGGCACGGACTGTGACACATTAGTGGCTTTGGAGAAAACGTGATGATGCAGGGGCTGGTTGGTTGGTTGGTTGGTTTGAATGAGGCATTTGGTTGTTTGAATACTCCTGCATGGTCTTCCCCAACCCAGCCCCTTCCACGCATGTTGGACTGCAACTCCCATCATCCCCAGCCACCAAGCAGTAGCCCAATAAATCTGATTGGGGGAGAGTGCCAGAACTCTTGGCCCAAGTGCATGGTGTCAAATACGTGCCAGTGGCATGTTGAAGCATTCAAATGACCAGGCCCCCGCCATCCGTGACGGATTCACCACAGGCAGAATCGGGTCACAGTGGGAGCGTGTCCTACGGGGTGGTAGGCGGGGAACGAACTCAGGACCTGGCACTGTCTTTTTAGCAACCCTGTAGATGCTTGGGAAAGAAGCTCTGCTGGCAATGGCAGGAACTCCGGGAGTTTGCTGCTCTCCAGAGATACAGCAGAACTGGAGGCAACACATAAGGGAAAGTACAATCTGGAATTGCCACAGGAAGTCTTAACAGCACAACACCATTGCGGGGAGGCAAATTCACATCAATACCAGGGAGTCCTTTCTGTGGTGTCCTAGACCTTAAGGCTCTCAAGCAATGGCCTGTCTCCTAGCCTCTACTGACGCTCCCTCGTCCTGCCCATGTCCCTGCAAGGAGCTCTGGGGTCGCATGGATAGTGGGGTGTGTTGGAAAAGGGAGAAACGGATACTCTCTGCTTTTAGGGTGACTTGGACAATGGGATCTGCCCATTGGGATCTGCCTCCCAACACTTGCATCCTTTGGTCTGGCCCACAGGGTCCCCAGGAAGACACCACTCTTGACTGGCACCATGGACTCTCCTCTGCTCAGCACAGGCCCCCATCATGAGCCCACCCTGGACCCAGTTCCTATGAGATGCTGGAGCCCCTGCACCGATGAACAGAGAAAGTGGTCCGGAGTCAGCCCGTTAAAGGAGCGCTTCAAATCGGCTGGTGCGTTGCTTTCAGAGTCACAGCAAGGCAGGCCTTGTGGTTCAAGTATTCGCACATATTCTCTGATTTCAAGAATGGGCCTGGCCAAAGCCCCAGGTCAGCCACAAAAACAGGAATGCCTCACAGCTTTCTTGTGGGGAAATGTCCTCTCATTCACTCTGGAGGGTTCTTAAGCACCCACCTGCAGCTCTGTGATTAGCCAAACAGAGAAATTAGCTGTCTGAGGGGGAAATACTCTAAGACAGGTACATGTAAGGGCCCCAGAAGGTACAGTCAAGGTTGTCCACAGCTATGCCACACTGAAAGAAATGAAGTAGGCCTTATTGTCTCCGGGTCACTTCAGGGCTTCACTTTCCTCCACTGAATTGCGCTTAAGTCCACGTTCATATTGTTTTCTAGTGCATCACATCATGTCTGACTCTACTTCCGAGAGACACCCCAGTGGACAGGTCTCTTGCATCATCAAGTTTTAATAGTTAATCAGCAGCAAAATGCACGGGCTCAGATACGCATGGAAAAATTAAATGTCAGCCTTTTCTCTTGGAGGGAGGCTCGGGGCGGGGAACAAGGCCTTTGGACAATTATTTTATTAAGCAGTCAGCATGCATTCCTACCTTGGGAAAGCACACTGGGCTTTGTTTGTTTTTTTTCCTGGATCTGGCCCCCAACATGGTGAGTTCATCAAGAGTTTGACTTCCATCTGCATGATGTACAGAGTCAACATACAAAATCATAATCGCATGAAAAACCGTTTTGTTTTCTTTTACAAACCTCCAAATCATATTGTCATTGCAAAGGTTAAAACATTTAGAAATCGCTGAAGCTTGGATCAGTGAGCTCTTTTGCCAGGAGACACATAAAAATGTGTTACAAAACAGCTCAAAATGAAATACCAGTATAGCGTATATGAAATGCATTAGTTCTGACTTTTCTCACTATTTCTAGAATTTATCCCAGGTTGTATTATAAAATATAGAAAACTGATACAAAGTATCAACAATACAACTTTGCTCTTGAAATTATCTTCGGCTAGAAGTTTTGCTTTAAATAAAACCAGGTGATAGAAAAACTGCTGCTTTTAAGTTACTAAATGCAAACACTCCAGTTTTCGGTAAACTTACCTGGTATGAGTTTTGAGCAGTATCTCAAATCGTCCAATAAAGCAACTCTCCTATGTTGAATTTTAATATTTCATCAATATTTTCCAGAGGGCACTGCATTTTCTCAGTTTCCATTTTTAAGTTTCCCCCAGCCCCTAATGCCACCTCTTTTTTTAACTATTAGCAACAGGGCAAAATCCATTAAATGAGGTAAGTCAATTTGGCACACACATTTAGCCATGTCCGTAAAACTTTTGGTACATCGTAGTAAGTGATTAACATCTTTTTCCATAGTGGTCGCTTTCAAAAGGGGGTACTTAAGAGAATCACTGGAATGTTGATAGTAAATCAAAAGGCAAAAATAGCTCCAGAAAACACTCACAACCCATTGTTGATAGAGATGTAAAAATATGTACAATACAACACTTGTTCAGAGTTTGGCACAATTTGCGTGGTTGTTGCGGGTTGTTGTGCATCAACAACTGTACAACAGTACGACTTTTGAAACACGGGGAATACCATGTTAGATTTGCTTCCAAAGGATAAAAGTCCCACAATTTCAAACTTTTGATTTCAGCACTTAACACTTCAACATATTACAAGGCATTGTTATTTTTTTTCTTTTTGAGCGAGTAAGGGGGGAAAAACAAAGAAAAAAAGGGGGAACCAAGCAAGCATCAAGTGTCATTCTAGAAAAAGGTGTCTCTTCTTCGAATACAGGTAAACCCAAAATGCTGTTTCTGCTTTAAGAAGAATGTAGTCTGTTTCCCTGCAGAAAAACCAAACATTTTATGCCAACTTAGTCAGCTTGTGTGGAGTCATGTATATGCTCTAACTTGGATAAAAGTAGGTGCAGCTTTATGGTGCAGGTTAGGATATAAACAGCAGAGGGGGCTAGAAAGCGCACAAAGATAGCCTCGTGGCGATCGACTAGGAATGAGCTGTCATTCTGCAAACTAAAGACCCTTTTCGTTTGGATATCTCGGCTTTTTTATTTTTTATTTTTTTGGATGCATAACCTCTTTTTTGTGTCTTATTTTTTACAAAATGTTCAAAAAAAAGTCTTTTCCTTTTCCGAAACCATTAAAAAAGAGCACATAATTAACCCTTAAAAAAATAAATAAAGGAATTAAAAACCGGAGAAGCCAAACAGCAAGAAAAAGGAATTGCCTTGTTAGTTTGTTTTTAACCCCAGCCAAGCCAGAAAAAAAAAGGTCATTCGTTTAGGTAGCTTGCAAGAAATAAGTATTTTCATGCACTTTGAGAACAAAAACAAGAACAACAACAACAACGAAAAAGACCTGTAAAAGGGGAGTGTCTCTCTCATGCAATTCTTGCTTTCACAGGAAGGAAAAAATGAGGAAAAACGGGCTTAGCAGGTAGTAGGAAAGTTAAGGGTGCATTCCAGCCAGTTTGGTGCAGCATTACCTCAGCTTTTCAAATGAAGCTGTCACAGACGGGTCCTTATGGGCCGGCTCACGGTCCGCTCGCTTGATTTTACAGTTCTCATCCCTCAGCGACTTCGAGGTGGATTTATGCCGATACAACTTTTTATGCGTAGGCTCGTGTTTGGCTAAAGTGCTCAGGTTACTATAACTTTTATCAAAAAAGGGAGAGTGAATGTCTGTGCTGTACCCAGTCGAACAGTTGGGGCGTCCGGGGTCACACGAGATGGCTCGGCCGCTGCTTTTGCTCGAGCCCTTGCCCCCCGGTTTGTGAGCCTTCCCCGTTCCCGAAGAATTGCCGTTCACCTTTTTCTTGGACTCTTGTGATGTTCCGGCCAGAATCTTAAGAGTTTTCAACTTCAGGCTGTTGGATTCAGGGGACCGGAAAATATCAGAGACGCTGGTATGGCCCACAGGGCCCCACAGGGGTTCAATGGAGGCCATCATGAATCTCTGAACATCTGCCATTCCAGAGGCAATGTTTGATAGAATATTGGACGGCTCTTCGAATTCCCTCTGATCATCGTCCAGAAGGCTGCGCGCGTTTCCTGGGCTGGCCTCGGACCAGCTGCCCCCACCGTCTCTCCCCGGGGCCCATTCTCCGGAGACTCCATTCTGCCTGCCCCCCCGGAGGGCATTGGGGCTGCAGTGCTGCATGGACTCCACCAGTGCTTTCGCTGCCGACGCCGAGTTGTTTGGCAGACCGGTTGCTCTACCACCGGTGCCTGGTGTCTTCTCCCCATTAATTCCAGCGGCATTCTTCCCTTTCCGTGTAGATTTGGGAGCTTGCCTGGAATTTTTGCCTGGTGGCTTTTCGGTCCCTTTATTAGCTTTGGATGTTTTTTTCCGAACATTCTTCTGGGGAGGGCTTTGGTTTGCACCTACGTTTTTACTAGATGAACTTTTCCTCTTTGATTTTGACACTTTGCTATTGGCGCTAATTTGGCCAGATGGCTCATTAAACGTTGACAGGCATGGGTCTTTTTCAAGGAGGCTGACAGAATCTTCATCGTTGAACATATGGAACTGAAACTGATGATTGTTTAAAGTGAATCCATTATCGGTCTGGTCTTGGGTCTGGAGAACATCACAACCCCACTTGGTCTTCTCAGGTTTGCTTAGCACGGCCTGAGAGCTACTGGGGAAGCATTTCAGGCTTCCAAGTGGTTTGGTTTCCGACCCAGTGATCTGTGGGGAAAGGTTAGGGGTATCTGGGGGAGACATTTCGGAAAGGGACGACTGGCGGAACTTATCAGGTGTGAAGTTAGAGATATCTAAAAGGTCAGTCGACTCCTTCAAGGGCGTTATTTCATCTATGCTTTGCTGGATCACCAGTTTGGGACTGCAGTGGGCCAAGAAATCGTCAGCAATATCATCATCGCCGTCCTTTTCGCAGGATTTTAAACTCAAGGAACTGTAATTGCTCGAGCTAACGGACAGCGAGCCCACGGAGTCGAAGCTGACAAGCCTCCCATTGTCTGTGCTCAGGGTACCTCGCTGGAAATGAAAATGACCCTCTCTCTGGCTGAAATGGCACGACTGATAAGAGTCATCGGGCTGTGCGGGGGGTGCGTTCTCCGGCATGTATTTTTTTTGGTATAGTACTTTGCCACCACTCAGGTGGGCTTGGGCATATCCAGAGGATGGGACGTCTTCTGCATTCGCGCAGCCACCAAACTCTGCCGGCGAAAGCACGGACGCTTCTGCTCCGCTGCTTGCAAATTCCTGGCTGCTGCCATCGGCTGGTTTGCCAGACGGCCACATGCTTCCGAAGTTGCTCGGCTCCATTTCCAGATGGCTCGGCGACTGCTGCAGCTCCGACTCAGAGGGCGGAGAGAGAATGCAGCTTTGGGTGGGCTGCAGGGTGCAGAATGCTTTCTCAGCCTGGGTGAGGCTGGGGAGCGACTCCTGCGGCGGTTGCTCTGGGTGCTGAGGACTGAAATAGGTGATGCCGGTGTTACTGGACAAATCAGAGGCATCTAACAATGTTTGTAGGTACCCTCCAGGAATGAGGGGCATGTTGGTGGCCAGATTGGCTGAGGGAGGAGGCTTCTCTGAAGAGCAGGTGGTGGGAAGGAAGGATGGAGAGTTTTTAGCAACTTTATCCTCCCGGCACTTGGACAGGCAAGTGCCATTGACGCTTTCCTCCCGCAAACCTGGGGCAGGCTCCGGATGCTCCGGGGCTGCGGAGGCGGGGGCCAGACTGGCCACTGCCTTGAGTCGCTTGCATTTCAACCTGGCTTCACTCTTGAACTTGATCCTGCGCAAGACTTTCCGCTCGGGCCCCTTGAATTCCCTGTCCTGGGCCTTACACTTTGGTGAGGCGAGGCTGGCGATGTCGTCCAAGCACAAGCCGTTGGCGCAGCCAGGGCCTGCGATGGCCAGCGCCTGCGCCCCTTTCAGGCCAGCCTCATCATCTCCCCTTCTGCGGAGGAGCTGCTTTGGATCGGAGGAGCAAATGCCAGGCTTGCCCACCGGTTGCTCGATGGCCTTAATCCTCTGGATGCGATGCCTGTTTGCCAGCTTGCACTTGCGCTTCCGGGGGTGAGGCAGGAAGGAGACCTCGGAGCCGTTGAGATAGAAGCTTTGCTTGTGGAGCAGCGCTGACCGGAGGAGGTCGAGGCGGCTCTGCCACTGCTCCTGCCAGAAGGCCTTCAGGGGGGCCAGCTTGGCATACTTGCTCAGCAGCTCCTCGCTCAGCGTCACCGTTGTCTCGCTGGCGTCCACTTTGCAGAGCTTCACCAGCATGTGCTTCTCACCCTTAAACCGGTTGATGATGATATACTTGATGATGACGGGGGGCTCCTTGCGTGAAGCTTTTCGCCTCTTCTTGGGGCACCATTCGTCATCATCTTCCTCCTTGGGCCCATCCGGGATCCACTCCTTCTTATCCACAATCTTCTCGCTCTCAATGGAGTCCACATCGTACAGGTAATCATCACTGTACCGCACTTTCCGCTTTGCTCGCAGACCATAGTTCTGTTGAATGAAGGAACTGGAGTGGTCTCTGGGCAGGTACTTGTTGCAGTCCTTCAGATCTTGGAGCACGTCAAAGGACGATTCAGTGCAGGTGCTGTCATCACTGAACTCCCCTGAGTCCTCTGCTGAATTCACCAGTTCCAAGAAGTGGTTTCTTTTGGGACTGATATATTGTACTACTTCTGTACTGGTGCAACATTTGTTTAAGGCAACTTTCTCACCTGCCTCCTCTTCCTCCTCCTCTTCCTCCTCCTCCTCTCCATCTACTTCCTCATCCCCCCATATAATGCTCTCCTCGGATTTGAATTGGGAAGCATCTGTTCCCCCACGGGGTCCCCTCTTCAAGGCCATTCGGCCTTCCCTCTTAGGGCACCCACTGAACACGCTCGGGAAAAAGTTAAACTGGGCGTCTTCTTGCAGTGTGCCAGTCTTCTCCTTCACATTGTCCTGGAATGATTCGTATCGGATCTTTAAGGAGCAGACGTCACTTCCCAAGGTTGAGTCATCATCATCGAACATGTAATTATCCACATCCTCCTCGGAAAAGAGATTTACAGAAAGCTCGTTCTTGGAGCACAGGTCCAGCAGCTCGATCTTGCTTTCGCTAATGAAAGATTCAAAATAACCCCACTCCTGGTTGGGATTTGTTAGCAGAGGTTCCTCCCCGTTGCACTTGTCTAATAGTAATCCCTCATAATAGTTTTTCTGCGTGGGGTCCTCAGAATCGCTGTCCGACTTCTCGGCATCTTTTTTGTCTGCTGCCCTGGATTTATGCACGGGGAAGCTCAGCAGCTGGTCCGATAGCAGCTGATCTCCGTACCGCATGGTCTCCCCTGTGCTCATGCAATGAATGCCGATATCGGAGACCGAGCAGGTGTCATAATCCCTGTTTAGGTCCCCCACTTTGAGACTGATTCCCGGCTCCGCGTCAATGCTGTCCTTGGACTCGATAAAGCAGCCCAGGCAGGTCCGGCTCGGCTGCATCAGGCAGTCCCCGGTCAGGGCCGATATGCTCCCGGGCTCCATCATCGTGAAGGGGGCCTTCTCGCAGTCGCCCGGCAGCGACCAGGCGCTCATGCCCTTTGTGACACACGACGTGAGGGAAATGGCATGGACGGACGAGGAGTCATCCGAAATGTGATCGGGCACGTCAGCCAGTCTTAGTGGGGACGGGGGGCTGAGCCAGCAGGGCTTCTTCGAAGCGAGGGCCGTCTGCACCCGCGGGACCCCCTGGCTCTCCTTCTGCGTGGCTACGCCCAGGGCTGGGAACGGAACTGCAGTGTCTGCAGTGCGGAAGGGTTTCTCGTCGCCATCCAGGTCCCGGGAATCTGGAAGAACGGGGAGAAATGGAGAGGCTGTGGGAAAGGACAGGGCAGTGAGAACCGGGCGAGAACATGCATATCAGAAATGTCCCCTTTCTATAAACCCAATGCTGGGGAAAGCAGCCTCGCTCACTGGTTTCCATAGTGTTTGCTCATTTAATTTCTTCAGTGTAGTGTTAATAAAAATAAAATCTGAAACTTTAGCAGATTCTGGGCATGTGGCTATGGAAAACGGAGAACTAATCCCTGTTTGGTTTTAAAAACCTGTTCTAAATTAATATTCTCATGTCAAGCTGACCTCAGACTAGGTCGCTGTATAAGAGAAATTTTAATAATAACAATCTTGCTATTAGTTTAAAATTCAATTTCCATGAACAAGAACAATATGAATAAACCCTCCCCCTATAATGCTGCTTGACCAAGCTTTGCAGGAAATTTCACATGTGGAGGAGACAAAAACTTATATATTAGATAAAAACACACACGTTTAATTCACTTTTTAAAAAACTAAGCTTAATAAGGGATTGTGTTTTACTGCTCAGGTTTTGAGGGAATGTATGGATGTGAAAGAGGACGAGGAGCAGGAGGAGCTGGCGGCAGGGTGGCGAGGTGGTCGACCACAGGTGGACAACATGGTAGATGTGGGCACTGGTGTGTGTCTGTGCATTTTTCTGGATGCCTGCTGAGGTGCTTTCACTTTTTGTTTCTGTGCTTTTCCAATAATACTGGAGTTTAGGGCCTGGTGGCGTTGCTTCAAAGCCAAGCGGGAGCTGCTAGATATTCTATCCTCATTCCCCACTGACGGCACTGGGCCCTACGTGGACTCTGAGCCTTCCCAGGAAATGAAGAAGGGAGGTGGCTAGAGGCTTGTGCTTCCATCTGCAGCCCACTGCTTCTTGGCTCATACCCAGGGATTTTTTTGTCCTAGAACGCACCAGAACGGTGTTCCGACACCTTTTTTTGACGGATTTTTCCAATGGAGTGATTTTGAATCGCCTGCGGGCTGCTTGTGTGTCGGCGCTGCTTGTGAGGGTGCTGCTCGGCTCGGGACGCTGCTCGGCTTGGGACCGGTCGTGTGGTCGCGCGCTGAGTGCTTACTGCCAGCGACGACCATTATGTTTATGTGTGTGTAGAGTGACTGACTACGTGCAAAAAGTAAACAAGTTCTTTATTTCAAAAACAGTTGGTGAACTGAAAATCTTTTTTAGTGTAAAAGTGTGACCCCAAGAGCTGAGTTCCAGCACCTTTTTTTTTTTAACAAAAAACGCACTGGTCATACCTGTGACAGTTTCTCAACCTCTCCATGGAGAAAAGATCGCCAACGCCTGAGAGAGACTCATGGAGAGCCTGCCCACCCCTAATGGGGCTAGCTTGGCCAAGAGCTCTCAAGATGCTGGAGATGTCCACAAGAGCATCCATGCACCTGCCCGTCAGGTGACCCCTAGTTGGCTGCAAAGAATCCACTGGTTGCTTTCCAACGGCTGAGCTGAGATTCTGTAAGGGGCAATCTGATCCCCAAACTGGCTCAGCTAGGGCAGAGGGGAAGTGCCAGGGAAGGGCAGACTCCAGCGCCCAGTTCTCTCCAGAAAATGGAAGATACCAGATTGCAGCTTTCAGCCAGCATGAAAGAAACTGTGAGGGCAGCAAGAGCGGAGGGGGGGGGAGGCGCCTTTGCAGCCCCCCTCCACCTTTGGCCTAGACTGATCTGGTGGGCACTCTGATTGCTGACCAGTGGCCTGCGTGATTGGAAAAAGCAAAAGAAAAAAAACGGCGAGCTGATGGTTCCCGTAAGCATATTTGGAGAAAATACGGAGAGCAACGAGCGATGCATGCTTCGTCAGTCCTTTTCCTATGCTGCCCATCAACCCCCGACTGTGCTCTGCTGAAGGCCTGCTAGCTGCAAAATTAAAGCCCAGGCAAGAAGCCCGAACCTCTGTGCTCAGGCAGGACAAGTAGCTAAGAGTCTAGAAAGTGCCGGCTCAAATCGTGCCCTGCCTTGAACTCAGGAAGCGATGCCTCCCGCCTGCAAAGGGGTTAGTGATGCTCCTCTCCCTTACAAGCTTGCTGTGAAGATTGCCGCCGGATAAGGGGTGCATGTGACGATTTGGGAAATCCAAAAGCATGATGTTATCATCACGCCCATGATAAATCATAAGGCCCAGAGAGCTTCAGCTACTGGGGATGGAGGGATGAAAATGACAGTAAGATAAATGCCAAGTGCTCGCTATTTATTACTGCAACGTGCCCAAGCCCTTTGCTCTCTTTTGGGAAAGCATTCCTGGGCTCCAGCACTGGTCTCAGACAAATGAGCACACAGGAGGTGCTAGCAGAGGATCACTTGCTACAGTGCGATCTCCTTACCTTCCTCTTTCACCCCATTAATCAGGATTGTTTCTTGGTCTTCCGAGGCACAACCCTTATCTTTTTGGTCATCCATCAATTTAACCTCCAGTTGCTCACTCCATGGTTTGTTGCAGCTGGCCGACCTGTGAATTTGCAAAAACGCAAGTACAGACACTTGAAAGCCCCGAATCAGCTCGCGGCCCTGCGCATTAAAACAAACCCCAGCTAAACCCGAGGAGAGGAAAGCTCAGCACAGCCACCAGAGGTCTGCTGCATTTTCCAGTTGAGTTGAAAGCACGAACGGATGCAGCAGGGCTGTCCCAGGCACAGCGCACCGAGTCAGGATAGCAGGGAATTTGTAAGGGGGAGACGGTTGTGTCTCAGCTCACTTACTAAGGCTGTGATCCAATGGTGCTTAGGAGAATCCGTTTTCTTTATCACATTTGCAGCTGAAGAACTGTGAGATGAAGTTTGGAGAAACCTACAGACAAAAACATCAAGTGGTCATAAATATACGTGGTGTAAATTTGCCATAAAATGAACACAAAGGATAGAAGATCCACTAATACAGATAGGACTGAGTAACCACTTTCTCTAGCCTGGCACCATCAAAACACCCTGGACTACAACTCCCATCATCCTCAGCCAGGAGGGCCCTTGGGAATGAAGCAAGCCAGGATAGAGCATGTCTACAGGGCACGAAGAGCATGATTGCTCTTGGCTGACCACAGAAAGATTCGTCCCATTTTTCTTGGATGCACAAAAATAAGTGGGAAATAAGAAGGAAGAGAATTTCATGCAAAAATCCCCCTTCAGATTTTAGAAAGAGCCAAGAAATAACCACATTCCAAAGCCAATATGCAAATCTCCTCATTTATTTTATAACTGCAAGAATCACTGTCTAAAGGAAAGAAGGTTTACCTTCAGATGCATTATTTGGAAACAATTCATAATCAGGGCAGATGCGGCCAGTGGCACAGAGCTGAATAAATTGCCAAGTTCAGATGCAGAGGGGCAAAAGAAGAGTGACATACAGCGAAATCAATTAATAAAAATGGTAGGATGCCTGCAATGTGTGAAGGGAGAATTATTTGGTGCAAAGCTGTTTAGTAAACAAGCCGATTCCACAAAACTCAAGATGCAGGACACAGAATTGCTGTTCAGGTCAGACCAAGGTCCGGCATTGCATTCCCGATAGCAGTGATACAGAAATGGCCACACACCCCAACACCACCTTTCACTAACATTCCACTAAGGGGCAAGAGAGAAATTGAATACATAAATAAATAAACTTCCACACATCGCAGCACTGTGTTTCCCATGCATCATACAGAACAGTGACCGTCACCTTATCCTTGCCTGGGCATCTAAAGTCCCCTTCTCCTTGGGAAGGGGCTGCTGTTGGAACAGACAGGTAAGACTCAGCTGGCAAACACTAGAATTGCAGCTGCTTGTGCTTCGACAACTTTCCCCACTGAGTTTCTTGCCCCCTTCCGATTATGCCACCAGCACCAAACCCACAACTTACTTTACAAAACCCATTCCCACAATGGTTAACATCTGGTTTTGCATCTGAATTTTTTTTGTAAAACCCCTTGGATCTGTTTTTCCAGAATGATGGCATTGAAACATGCATGCACACCAGCTTCTTTGGCAAATAGTTGTCTTTCCAGGAGAACAACGGCTGGGTTTGGTTCCTGCGATGCTTGAAGGGGTCTCTCCAATATGAACCCTTCCAATCAAAGCAATTTGAAATGAAACACCAAAACAGCAGCATGGACTCACTCTTGGAAGATGAAAATGGGCAGTTTGGGCTTTTAAAAAAGACGAGATGTGCGCAGTTCTGGCTGGATCTTATGCACACACTGTTGGATCGGAGCCACTGCCTCCCTTCCACAAATTCCTTTCATGTGTAACCAACTGCCAAACTTGCCTGGGAGGGTTTTTTGTTTTTGGTTTTTTACATTCCCACCCGGCTGTGTGCACAAATTTACACATTAGCAATTCACCCAATTAGCTGAAGGTGTCATCATTAGACATAAAGACATATCATTTAATTGCCTCTTTAAAATAAATTGAGTTCAGTCATACTTGAAATGCTGATTCGTATGGCAAAGTTGTGCTGGGAAGAGACTATAAGGAAAGGTGATCTCTATCCAGGTAATTATGTTAACTGCAAAAGTATTTAAGGGGACTAAAGGCCACTTCAAGAAAGAAAGAAAGAAAGCGAGAGAAATAGAGAAAGCAAGCAAGCAAGAGAGAAAGCTGGGCATCTTCACTGCCTCCTAGGGAAGCCATGTTTGGTTAAATCTTGGATAATCACTGACAGGAGATGTCACACTGTGGCTGAAGCATTTTTTCTGAGAGGCAAATTATTCATCCATGAAATTCAGCCGCCGATGCCAAAGGCTTCCTTTTTCCTCTAGTTTAAACAGTGTCTGATTACATTGTATGTCTTCTGGTCCATCTCCAGCCACTGCATTCACTCCAGGAACATTGGTGGATGCCAGCACTGCAGCCAGGCGAAATGGGAAATAAGTGATCGCATCTTAATGAAGTCCGCTTGCTGAAACTCTTCAAAGACTTGCAACGGTATATGCATGGAGAGGAATATGGGCATTTAAAAGGTTGGGAGCCAACTGAAGTGGTAAGTGACGCGTTCCTCCATTTTATGGGTGGGGATCCTGGGCAGAAACATGCACTTGGAGTCACGGTCAAAGAACAGGAAGCATGAGATTAGTCCGCGGAGGAAGGCTCAACTCCCTCCCGCCGCTTGCAGTCGATTGCACTGCACAGAGGAAGCTGCTCTTGATGGCGTCTGGACATCGCACAGGAGCCTCTTCTCCATCGCAGTGGTTCTTTGCTGGAGGGCCTGAGGATGCCTTTGAGTCCACTGAGCCAGCTGTCCAGCCACTTCCGGGAGGACCTTGCATACCTCCAGGGCCACTGCCCTCCCATTGCTGATTCCTCCACAGCTTCTCCTGTCCTCAGCCATGCAGAAGCAGGAGTCTGCAGAAACAGCCACATGCTCCTTAAGGGCTGCAGCCTCTGGACTTTCTGGGCCTGCCAGTCTTCCTGGGGCCTCAGTTGTCGACTAGGAAAACAGCTCTCCCTGGAGGAAACCCTTCAGTCCGCAGCAACCAGCAGTGTGCTGTCCAGGGTCCTGATAGTGCTTTGCTCTCCAGGCCCTGCTTCTGCTTCCTCAGACGTGACCCCGACCCCCTTGCGAGCGCACATTCTACGGGCTCCTTCCCGGGGCGCCCGGCCCGGCCCAGCCCAGCTTCTCAGGCAGGTGCCTTTCCAGACCCTTCTACTGTAAATCCTTTTTTAACCAGAGAAGTCACGATCCAGAGCTCTGCCGCCTGCAAAGCGACTGCCCTTTCACGGCGTGAACATCCCTCCCATAAGAGAGTTTCCCAGTGCGGATCCCATTCATCCCTTCATCGGCACTATGAAGGAGACAACCCTCCATTCCTTTTAGCTGATGTGAGAAACAGAGCGCCATTTGCTGCATCGGGAAGTGGTGGAGAAGCATGCTTCCAGGCCTCACGGGAGTTCCTTGCTCGTGACGACCGGCTCACTCCGTGCCAAACCGTGGCTTCAGTCCCAGTGAAGACCCTGCAGGGCCTTTGGCTGTAGGTGAGCCCAGGTTTACAAAGCAGCGGCCCTCCAACTGCTCCTTGACTTGAACTCCCAAGCGGCCCCACCAAGCATGGCCGACCACTAGGGCCACAGTCCGATGATAACTGGCAGGACAGACATTCCCAAACCCTGGATTGAAGTAATTCCACCAGGAGCTCACTGGTAGGAAAAGGCTCCGACTGGGACTCCTGCTTTCCCATTTTCCTAACAAGCCAGAGACTCAAGGCAGGGTCTGATGTCAGCTTACCCTTCTTAGCTTGCCTGGAGATCTGAATCTAAGGCAACAGCAAGGTTTCTTTTGCAGACCAGCCCAATTCATTGATTCCCCCTCACGGCTGAAAGAGCCAAGGGGGAGCAACTGGGCACCACATGCCGGCATGCTTGCTTATGAATGACGCACGGAAATTATCCAGAATCCTGGCTTCCCATTGCAAATGTGGCTGGAAGGCATGTTTACACTGTCGGGGGCATACACTGAAGCATGCCCCAAACAGCCCCATGCCTGGCTTGCTCCTTGCTGTTAAAGCCAAGTCCCCATTTCCCTTCGTGAGGCTGATGCTCCAAGCCTAGCTTTCCCCAGCCGCAGCCCCACCACCTCCACATCCAATAAGCTATGGAAACCGTCGGGCTGCGCGTGCTGTGGGAAGAGCCCTCTCTTTTCCCACCACGCTGCTGTGCTTAACCTTGCTATCTGTCAGAAGCTGCAGGTAAAGAGCCAGGCGCACTGTCAACGCGGAGCTGGGGAGGAAAGTGCGACCAGCCGTCTCAAACGCGTCCCCGGCCAGCGCAGCATCTGTGCTTTTGTGTCGGCAGTGGGCAGGGGTTACCAGTCGATCTGGAGAGCAGCCTTGGCCTCCTCTTATAATTAGACCACCGGCAGGTTGCAAAGGGCTCCACACATCCTGCCAGCCCCCACGATGGATCTGTGGCCCTGGAACTGCATTCCATCTTCATCATCAGAGCTCCCTGAGGACTCTTTTAAAAGCACGTATCTGCAGCATGTACTTCTTGTTTCCGTCCAAATTGGGGTGAGAACGACGGATTTTGCCACTTTCTCTGCCGGAGAAAAGGCACAAGAAAGGATCTGGCTGGGGAGAAGGAACACCCAGGGAGGCATAAATCATGCGCTGCTGGAGGGATCTCCTTTTGCATATTGAACTGCTCGCCCCTAATTGTTTCATTAGAGCGATTCTGGTTCTGCCCAAGGCCCTGGTAAATACTTTAGTGTATGAAAGGGAACGGGATAGAGAACAAGGGAGACGGCAATAATAGGCAACACCGCCGCTAAGATAATAAATTGATCAGCCCTCCGTAGCTGACATTAGTTAATTCATCACACTTCTATTCACTTAAGGCAACCACAGACGCAATTTCTCAGCACAAAAAATAAACCCAGACACAAAACAATAAGAACCCATGTAATACTGTTTGTGCATTGCAGAATAAAGATAATAAAATAATTAGAAAGTGTTTAGAAATGCCACTTACCTG